GGGTTTTGTCTGCCTGCTTTTTGCTATATTTTGCATTTTCAATCATAATCTTCCTGGTTAAGAATGTATAGAGAACTCTATTTGAGTGGATTATCAGTCATATTCTTTATCACAGAAAAAGTCTATGCAATGTAATGAGATTCAGCATTAACTAATACCTCCCACTAACCATATTTGTGGGAGAGCATGGTGATGCTGCTGTTCTGTGACTTGTCATTCCTACCAGTTTCCCAGTGTTTTATGGCCATTTTTGTGGTCTTAACCTTTTTGTCATGTAACTAAACCAATACTGTCAATAGTCATTCAAATTCAAGAGAGACCATTTAAAAGTTCAGAGAGACCCAAGGGCCAAGTGTGATATGAGGTGAGAGTAAAATCACAGGTCTGGTATTTATTTAAATTGTCTACATACTTGCCATTCTTGTTTTGAAGATGAGTGATTGTTTATTTTAGCCATTACTCATGAGCATATCTATTAAATAAAAGTGTTATTTTAAAAACTGGTCTCAGGAACTAAGTTTTACACTGGGCAAAGTTTTATTTTCAGCATCTGTGAAGTTCTGGTAGTGATGCAGTATCTGTGTCCTATGAATGGAGAGAGATTAATACCTCTCACACATAAATCCTCCTCCCCATTGTTACTGCACTAGAACGAAAGCAGAACCCTACATAAACCAAGTACAAACCATTCAGATGAGGAGCCATAGTGGCATTGCCCCTGCCATGCTTTTCTCTTTGTTCCCGTTTAGGAAGGTTAACCTCATCTAATGTCAGGTCTGCAGAGGTAACCACTATTCTTTTTTTATTTCAATTTGAACATACAGCCCTACAAAGGGCCTCATTTTGAGTGGGAATCATTTTTGTCTTCATGAAACTTTGGGATCGTTGGATTAATAGTTATTTAGTTTTGGTGGAAGAGAAGGGCAATAACAGAAAAAAACCTAAGCGGAGCAAGACAGTAGGGAACATTACCAATTCATTTTCCTTGTAGGAATCCTAAAAAACCTGGGGCAAGGGTTGAAGCAACAGTTGCCAACATAGATAACTACTGTGCAAGGCTTTGATGCCACCTCTGATGTACCCAAGGCTGTGTGGCCTGGGTGACCAGCACTCCAGCAGAAGCTGGCCTTCCTTTTAGAAAACAAGGCATACAAATGTGAAACAATGTGTAAAAATAACAACTTCCTTTTCTTTTCATGTATCATTATTGAACACTATGTGCCAAATACAAATACCATGTCAAACCTTGGAGATACAAAGTTGAATAAGACATGCTCCCCATGCCACCAATAAGTTATTACTGTATCCTGGGAATGCTCAGTACCTTCCAAGCCCTGGTTCATCATAGGTTCTCCCCTTCCATCCTCCTGTCCACCCTTCTTTTCCTTTTTAAAAATACACTGTGAAAGTGTGGGATGTTTTGTCTTAAATAAGAATTGATTTAAAGGTGGAAAAAGAAGGTTTGGGATCAAAAGAAAATTACAAATGAAGACTTTGAGATCACACAGGGATTGATTTAATATTTTGTCGAATAATCTAGAAGGTGGGGTAGAGAGATGCCTCTTCACATTTACCGATACTTAGACATTGAAAATGAAATGCCATATGAATAGGCATAAACTGTAAGAAAATACGCTTTAAAAAGCAAACATGTAAAAGTATTTATTACCACATAACAAATTACTCAAAACTTAATAGCCTAAACAACCACTTTATTTGCTCATAAATCTGTGGGTCAGCAATTTGAGTAGGCTTAGCTGAGCAGTTCTGCTGGTTTTTCTGGATATGTTAATCAACTTGAATGTGCTAATCATTTCACAGTGTACTATGTATATCAAAACATCACCCTTTGAAGGCATAGGACAGAAGCCACACACGTTGCTTCTGTCTCATTCCACCAGACAAAGCAAGTCAGATTCACGAGGGGGAAGTAGAGTCTATCTCTTAATGGATGGAATAACAAAGTCACAGACAGTTAAGTAGGCTGCATTAGGAAGGGGTTTGGAAACCACCGAATTACAGTTGAATTGTTTTAAGATATTCAGAAAAAGAATGGCAAAAATTAAAACAGTAAAAACTTTTTTTTTTAATAAAAATATTATTATACTTTTTTTTTTCTTTTTTCCTCTGCAGAAACTATTCGGACAGTAAAAACTCTTGACACAGGCTTTGCTTAGTCAACATAAGTTGTCTCTTACTTCCAAGTCTCCCACTCCCGCTGCAGCCCCCTCCAGTCCGTGCCCAGCCACACAGGCTCCACCGGCATGACCGCTGCCCAGCCCCTCCTCTGTGCTGCCGAATCAGTGGACACTTTCAGCCTTCTTATTTGACTTTTCTTCAGCTCACTCTGCCTACTGTTATCTCCTTGAAACTTCCTCCCTTCTTCTTCCCTTGTTTGAATTACTCTTGTCCCTATTCTTTCTGACTCCTCCTCCCAACACACACACACACACACACACACACACAGCCTACCTCTCAGGAATACAGAATTCCATAAATCACCAAACATATCAGGCTGTGTCTATAAAAATTCTATTCCAGGCCGGGCAGGTAGCTCACGCCTGTAATCCTAGCACTGTGGGAGGCCGAGGTGGGTAGATCGCTCAAGATCAGGAGTTCGAAACGAGCCTGAGCAAGAGCGAGACCCCGTCTCTACTAAAAATAGAAAGAAATTAATTGGCCAACTAAAAATATATAGAAAAATTAGCCGAGCATGGTGGCACATGCCTGCAGTCCCAGCTACTCAGGAGGCTGAGGCAGGAGGATCGCTTGAGCCCAGGAGTTTGAGGTTGCTGTGAGCTAGGCTGACGCCACAGCACTCTAGCCCAGGCAACAGAGTGAGACTCTGTCTCAAAAAAAAAAAGATTCTATTCCTTTGTTCATACCTAATTAATTCCCTCCCAGCCTTCAACATTTATCTTAAGTTTCATCTCCTCCAAGAAGCCTTTTTCTGTCCCAGTTCCCAACATACTTCCATCCACTTCCCTCCACTAGAGCTGATTCCTTTATCTGTGCTCCCACAGCATCTTGTGCATACCTCTCTCTTTGTAGTTATGTTATGAAATTATCTACATTCTTACCTGTCTCACTAGACTGTCAGTGCCTTGAGGGCAAGGACCACATCTGTATACCCCTGAGCCTAGCACAATGTCTACTACTCAACAAGACCCTCAGTAAGCATTTGTTGAACTAACCTGAATTGTGAGGAAATAAAAATATGCTGCTGGCAGCAACAAGTGCTACAAAACTATTCCTACTCATTGATTTAGTAATCCCACTTTGGAAGAGTATACTTCCAGGAAATAATCTAAATAATCTGAAAGAGAAAATCTTTGTTGCAAAGATTTATAAGAAGCCATATTTATAACTACAAAGGGAAAATGCAGGCAATCAAATGCCCAATTAAATAAGATCAAAAACTGCAAACTATGGCAAATTAATGTCGTAAAATATACAATCATTAAAAAGATAAGTGAGTATAAAAAACGGGGGGAAGACAGATAATAACAAGTGTTGGCAAAAATGTGGAAAAATTGAAATCCTCAGGTGTTGCTGGTGGGAATGTAGAATGATGCAGCCTCTGTGGAAAAACATTTATTAGCTCCTCAAGAAGTTAAATATTGAATTACCATGTGAACCCCGAAATTCCATTCCTACGTGTATACTCAAAAACTTATATATACACTCCTGAGTGTGGTTGTGAGTTAAAGAAAAAACAACTTGTCCATTATTGTTCATAGTAACATTATTCATGCCAAAAAATAGAAACAACCCAAATGTCCCTCAGCTGATGAATGGATAAATAAAATGTGTGTATCGATACAAACATTCAGCCATAATAAGGAATGAAGTACTGATACATGCCACAACATGGATGAACCTTGAAAATGTTACCAAAAGCACAGTACCTATTCAGGAAGCCGAATAAAAAAATGAGAAAAGTGGGTTCAGGAGAAAGGAAAGGAAGGTTTATTAATTTGCCAGCAAATGAGGAAGATGGCAGACTCTCATCTCAAAGAACGACTATCCTCCTGTTGAGAGTAGTTTGGGCTCTTTTATAAAGTTAACTCAGGGTCTTCAATGAACTGTGCCACACATTGTTCCAAAGGGCCTCAGGAGGCTGGATTTAACAAAAGCATTGTGCTAAGTGAAAGGGGCCAGACACAAAGGCCATATATTACATGATTCTATTTATATGAAATGTCTAGAATAGGCATAGAGACAGAAAGTGGATTAGGGGACAGGGGAAGGAAGGATTCGGAATAACTGCTAACAGGTATGGGGGTTCTTTTGGGGGTGATTTATGAAAGTATCCTGGAATTAGTGGTAAAGATTGCACAACATTGTGAATATACTAAAACCATTGAAATGTACTCTTTAAAATGGTGACTTTTATGTTAAGTGAATTTTATTCTAATTTTTTAAAAGGGGAAATGGATTATTAATGTTTTATTTAAAAGAAAAGCACATAGCAGAGGGAAACCCTGAAAAGCACAAAATAACATATACATACTTCTTACAACTAAAAATGTATTGATAACTAAGGGGAAAGACAAGGAGGTCATGAATTGGGTGTTTTTAACCTGTGAGCTTTTTATCATTTCAGATAAAGTTGTTTAAAATTTAGTACTTTTATAGGTATATCTGTCAGAACATTATTCCAAATTATACAAAGCTAAGACCTATAAGGCTCTACATGATAATGTAAGCATAAAGTTCTGCAGTTTTATAAAGTTTTATGAAGGACGAGGGGACAAGTCATAATAAGATGAGTGGAATGCTTCTTAGGATAGATAACCTGTGTTTTTCTGGTGGAGAGATGATTAAGGGATTCAATGTGAGTATCAGCAAATTACCCATACTGGATTTCTCTTTCTGGTTTGGCATGAGAATAGGAATATGAGAAGCTAATGGGGTGTTTTGAGAAGCAAGCCCTTGATGCAGACACCAGCTAGTTTCCTCTTCAAAGCAGTAGGTAGGTAATTATAAGAAAGTGAATTAACAGGGTGTGGTAGCTCAACCTCTAATCCCTGCAACTGGAGAGGTGGGAGGATCACTTGAACCCAGGAGTTGTAGTGAACTAAGATTGTGTCACTATACTCCAGGCTGGGTGACAGAGCAAAACCCTGTATCTTTAAAAAAAAAAAAGAAAAGTGAATTAACAGCATTTCTAGAGGAATTTGAAATAAAGAATGAAGGCATTTCTGGAGTCCAAATTGCTACATAGGAGTAAAACTTGCAAATAAGAAAACAGCTTTAAAAAATTACCAGGAAAATTAAGTAGGACAAACCACTATAGGTAATTTTTTTTAAAACAAAGTGAGGTCTCACTTTGAACTCCTGAGCTCAAGAGATCATCCTGCCTCCCAGGTTGCTGCGACTATAGGAGTATGCCTCTGAGCCCAGCTAGCCACTGTAGGGGATTTTTAAAATCCCATCCTTGTACAGATACAGCCCTTTAAATTTTATAAAGTTCTAGAAATAAAGACTTACATAGAAATGAAAGCCAGGTATGTATTAGAAGAAATAATTCTCTAGTAAGAGAAGGCATCTGTGACTGGGGTCCCCTATAGCTATGGCTGCTGCCACTGCTGCCTTGGCACACAGTGCCCCTGTCCCAGGAGGAATTGCTCCCTGTCACATAATAAGGAATATATATGGGTAGATGGTGAGAAAGTACTTAGTGGATACAATGTCTGTTACTCCAGTGATGGATACACTAAAAGTCCTGACTTCACCACTATTCAGTATCCATGTGACAAAATTACACTTGTACCCCATACACTTATGCAAATATATATATATTTGTTCTCTGCTCCTCTTTGGGAGTCTCTGAAGTGTAAGGGTCTTTATGTATGCTAATGAGATGACCGGTGGTTGGCTAACCTCAGGATGGCATGGGCAGGTTGCCAGGGGAACCAATCATGTGATAAGAGGCTTTGAACTTTGAGCCCCATCTCCCACTCTGCTGGGAGGGGAGAAGAGCTGGAGACTGAGGTAATAATCAACCATGCCTACAGGATGAAGCCGCTATACAAATCCCTAAAGTACAGGGGTCGGAAGAGCTTCCAGGTTGGTAGCTTACAAAGGTGCTGGGAGGGTGGTGCCCTGGAGAGGAAGCTCCGCACCCCTTCCCACGTGTCTTCCATAGGCATCCTTTCCATCCTGCTCTTCCTGAGTTGTATGCTTTTATAACAAACCAGTAATCTAGGATGTAAACTGTTTTCCCAAGTTCAGTGAGCTGTTCTAGCAAATTGTCGAACCAGAGAATGAGGTCATGTCACAAGCACGGTGACATTCTGAAGTAGAGGGACAGTCTTGTGCCCTTAACCTGGAGATCGGACACTATTTCCAAGTAGATGGCATCAGAATTGAATTAAATTGTAAAACGCCCAGTGGTGTTTACCAACAAGTGGAGAATTGCTTGGTGTGGGAAAAAACCCACACATCTTGTTCTGCGTGTGAGCAGAGGGGAAACTGGTGTTTTTCCCTACTCGCTCCTAAAAGGTGACTGAGGAGCAGCTGGAAGAGGATGACAACAGGAGCTAGATGTAGCCCTGTTGGAGAGACTGTGGGGTCTGACAGGGATGTTTCTAGAGAGAGTTCAGTCCTGGGCAAGAGTCACTTTTTATCTCTCCCTCTTTGTGGCTCAGAAAATGTACAGGGTTTCCAGGACAGGCTTGCAGATAGAGCCTACTTCCTTTTTTTTTTTTTTGAGACAGAGTCTCACTCTGTTGCCCTGGCTAGAGTGCCGTGGTGTCAGCCTAGCTCACAGCAACCTCAAACTCCTAAGCTCAAGCAATCTTTCTGCCTTAGCCTCCGGTGTAGCTGGGACTACAGGCAGGCGCCACCATGCCCAGCTAATTTTTTCTATATATTTTTAGTTGGCCAATTAATTTCTATTTTTAGTAGAGACGGGGGTCTCACTCTTGCTCAGACTGGTTTCGAACTCCTAACCTTGAGTAATCCACCCACCTCGGCCTCCCAGAGTGCTAGGACTATAGGCATGACCCACTGCGCGTGGCCTGAGCCTCCTTCCTTTATGACCTGGGTCCTCCCAGCTATCTTTGAAACTGAGGTTACAAATGGAGCCAAGGCAGCAGCTGCAGCATCAATTTAGACTTCTAGGGCCTGACACGGGACTGTCAGGAAGAATGGAAAGATCTAGATTGTTACTGTTATATTTGAGCCATCTTGGTGGTAGAAATTTGAAATTCAGTATTGTTTGGCCTGCTGATTATGTGGATTACTTTTATTTCTGTTTTAAACTTTGACACATTAATCTATCTAAACTTGGGGTGGGAGGTTAGGAGGGGAGAATTCTCCTTCCTTTATCTCACAGAGACTCCCAACTTCAGTGGTGCCCTGCGCGCTGTCCTTACTTATTTCTTTTGCCCTTACTCTGACACCAGAGTGAGCAATGCACCCTGCCCCTTTCAATGAATTGCTCCTAAACAGAAGATCTCCACCACTGTCCCATGGTAGGAAAGCAGCTGGTGCCAGTGTGAGGGATGTACCCAACCATTAACAACTGCTTTTTGTTTTTGTCTTTAAGAATCAGATGTTGGGGAAGAGCATGCATGCATTATGAAATAGACAAAAATGTATTACGGCTGTCATGGAAGCAGCCCCTGCCAACTCCTACATGCATTGGACAGGAGGAGGAAGTGCCTACAGCAGCTTCAACCACAAGATGGGGACTGCAGAGGAAAGATCAGCAGTTCATTTCCTTTGTGCATTTTGGCTGTTAGACCTGTGTATGTTTAAAAAAAATAAAAAGCCAGGGCTCATTTTTTATCTTTAAATATTAAATTTTTTCCAACTGGAAAAAAAGGGAGAAAACATGTATGTATCTATGTCTTTAAAGACATATTTTATGTTGCATCCATAAATTTATGTTTTAGCAGAGAAGAATAAGGATGAATCCAATGCTCTCTTGTAAGTTCACACCAGATATAGTCCATGAATAAACAATTCCTCAGGCCAGGTCGGGTGCCTCATGCCTATAATCCTAACATTTCAGGAGGCCAAGAGCTCAAGACCAGCAGGGGCAACATAGTGAGATCTGATCTCTACAAAAAAATTTTAAAAATAAAAATGATAATATTTAAAAAGTATCCTCATCCTTTATATATTTTTTTAATGTTGTTCTTCTTCTTTTTTTTTTTTTTTTTTTGAGACAGAGTCTCACTTTCTTGCCTGGGCTAGAGTGCCATGGCATCAGCCTAGCTCACAGCAACCTCAAACTCCTGGGCTCAAGCAATCCTTCTGCCTCAGCCTCCCGAGTAGCTGGGACTACAGGCACATGCCACCATGCCCAGCTAATTTTTTCTATTTTTAGTTATTTGGCTAATTTCTTTCTATTTATAGTAGAGACGAGGTCTCGCACCTCATCCTTTTTATCATCATCTTATCTTCATCATTATGCATTTAACTGTAACAGTTAATTTGATTTTCACAGAGCCACTACCAGGAAGTAATAGATGTTAACCTTTCACCGTATGTACCCCAGAGTTTATTTATTTATTTAGAGACAGAGTCTCACTCTGTCACCCTGACTAGAGTGCAGTGGTGTCATCATGGCTCACTGCATCCTCAAACTCCTAAGCTCCTTCCTTCCCCCTGTCTGGAACTTCCCTAGAAGTTCTGCACATTAAAAGCTGAGTCAGTGGCTGTGGAGGGAGAGATCTGGTTAGTAGTCAAATAATGAGGGATCTGAAAAGGGAGACAAGGACATAGATTAGAATGAGAATAAATAAGTAGAAAAGAACAAATCTAACCACATTTCCCCACACCTCATTAAACCAGTCTCTCAGCCTGGGAAATAGATCTTCATTAATCTGATAGAGAACATTTATCTTGTGTTTTAAGAGGTGTAGATCACAGTCTCTACTTGCCCTGTGTGGCATTTTTCACCAATAATCATGCAAGCTCCTCCCTGTTGGGCTGTCACGGCATCTGGGACGAGGCAGTTTTCAAATACATTACAGGCTAGGCTGTTGGCTTCTAACTTAAGTGCTCCAAAGGCTTGCATAATGATTTTCAACTCCTGTTCTACTACCACAGAGAGATTCAAAACTGTCTTTTCAATCTCGTAAGTTCCAATGCCAGGAAAAAAGTCCTGAGCACCCAACAGAACTTAGAATTGTGATATACAAGTGGGGTTTTTATAATATCATGTCTAGTACATTTGCTTGATACCACTTTGTGAAAGAGCCAAATTTGTAATTTGGCTGGCATTCACAGTGGAGTACCTGGTAACAGGGTGTCAGATGATCAAGTCCACAGTGTCATGACTATCTAGGTGGGAACCACTTGTGTACTTTATCACCACACACAATGAAAAAATAAGTGTTATTTACAGACAGGGTCAGGTTGGAACCTGTGACCTCCCAGTTTGGAGTTTGCTGTGCCTCTTCTTTCTTATTGGCACTTCTACATCTCCAGTTTCTATGTGCCCCTACCAGTCTGTGGGAACAGAACAGGTTGCAAAATATTTGATATGAAAGGCCTTTGGTCCATTCCTGGAAGTTATAGGGCTTGGTTTTGTCACTTAAACAAGTTAGTCCAAACTTTTGGTCTGCCCATATGCAATCTTTAGTATCTGGCAACTTAACAATCAGAGCAAGTGAACTATCCCCAAGTTGCACAGGCCTGGCTTGTGAGCTGTCCACATCACCTGGTGGTCTGACAATCGCTGAGATCATGAGGGTTAGTGTCAGCACCATCTACAAGTACAAGAATGCCATCTGTGGAATCAAACCAGGCTGGGCAATGAATGTAGCAATTTTAGAGGGAAGGTGAATAGCTCATAATAGGGGCAGCAATTGTAGGCCCATTAGCAACAGGCATGTCTGCAGAAGTTACAAAACTACAAGATTTCCACATTGTGCCAATTGGATGGCAGACTCCAATGGCATATTTGGAGTCTGTGTAAATAGTGGCAGCTTTTCTTGGCAGCCAATGTGCAAGTTCTAGGTAGGGCTATGACAAAAGTGATTCAAGGCATTTTGGGGTGAGCTTTTGAGTGCCCTGAGATATTTTATGTCCTAAGTAATGAACAATTGTCTGTACTCACTGGAGTCTAGACCTAGAGGCTTTATGGTCTCAGTCAGCTAGAGTCTTTACAAGAAGAGTCTAAGAGAGCACTCTGTTTACAGAGCAAAAAATCATCAACACACTGAACAAGAGTGGATCTTTGGATAAAAGTTCTAGAGTCTAAATCAGCTTTGAGAATTTGAGAGAACATTGAAGGAGATGCACAGTGTCTGAGGTATTTGGGTCCATGTTAATTATCTCCCTCTGACGTTGAATGGAAAGAGAAATTGTGAATCAGGGTGTAACAGAATTGAAAAGGAAGTTGAGCAGAGGTCGATTACTGTATTATTAAAGTCACAAGAACTAAAAAGCATTTGAGTTAGTTTCTATCTTCTTGATAAAATTTTTGACTGAACTGTTTGTTTTCTTAAGCTAATTAATTAGAGCTCTTTTATATATTTTGCTAGTGAAATATCACATACACATGACATATATAGACACAGAGACATATAGACATACAGACAGAAGCAGATCTAATAGTTCTTCTAAAGAATTTTTATTGCCGGCTCTTAAATATTATTAAATTATTTTATCCAGGCTATCCATTTTTTAATTACCTATTTTATTGTTAAAATTACTGCAATTACTAGCTGGGCAACAATTTTGCCTTTAGTAGGATTTTGTCATTTCTATAAGCATTTGTCAGGCCTAATACTCATACATGTGTAGGTAGGCAGAATGTGGGGCAGGCCGTGGGAAGATCAGCTGCTTCTCCCCAGGAAGCTGGTCCCTTAGGTAGTAGTAGTCACAGAGGATAAGAAATTAATACGAAACAGAATAAAAGAATACACAGAGAGGAAGGTATAGTTTTATAGGTTTATATAAAGAAATTAGGATAAAGTGAGGGTACTCAGGAGTCTACACTACATCCCTGTCAGTAGAGCAGCATTGAGGTTAGATTCACATAGGTTTTTATAATCACAAATATCAATTATCAGCTGCCAGAGTAACAGATTTACATAGTAACAGGTCGTTTCGATTTGGGTTAAAAGTTTTTTTCAAAGGGCTTCTAACAAGTTCTAACCTATTCTATCTATGTGAACAGTTACAAAATCTTTCTAGGACTAACTCTAAGTTCTAAGAGATACCTATCAATTAACAGAGGAATAACAAAGAGATATAGTGGCTCTATATTTCTTTTATCTAGTTATTGTGGATTTGAGACAGACAGGAGAAAGCAGGAAGCCCAGTTCTACATTCTAAATTGTTCATAACCACAGGGGTGCATCCCTGGGCTAGGGCACTCATTGTTCTGGCTCCCATCCTGTGAGCCATGCATATACCTGTCTTGTCTTTCAAGAACAGGGAGGCATATATCTGAGATAAGGAGAAGCCTCCTGGAACATATCTGCATGGGAGCTTTGAGAGCCCTGCCAAGGGGATGCAGCTCTTGAAATGCAAACTAATGAGTTCACATATTCCTTCAGGGGCAAACCCTGCAAACTCCTATTTCTGCCTTTAATATAGCAATATTGGGCGATACAATAAAATAATGATCTTATGAGCCACATCTCATTAATTTCTCAATCATATTTCTGCAACAATTACTAGCTGTTCACCAATGTTGCCTTTAGTATGATTTTATCATTTCTATAAGCATTTGCCGGGCCTAATACTCATACATATATAGGTATGCATTGCCAAAAGTAGAGTACTCAGTTCTTCAGAAATTAAGAATCCTGTTTTTGCCTTGATTCTTGGCTTTGGCTCTCAGATCTCCATGATCAACTTAGGCAATGATTTTTTCTTACCCAGTGTACAAGAAAAAGGAACAAAGGAATAGAACATGGAAATCTCTGTGAATGCCTGAAAGCTGGAGTTTGCATCCCCAGTAGTGTTGCCATGTTACTGTTAGTTTCTGCCTGACCCAGTCAGACGTTTGAGAAATCTAATTGGTTCTAAGCTAATTAGCTATCATATCCAATCTGATCCCAGACTTAGTTTAGTTTCTGTTGCAACTTTTGAACCCATTTAGGATCAAAAATTTTTTCAAATTCAGAGAGCTCAAAACGTAAGTCTGTGGAGCTTTGGGATCGGGCGAGAGCTTACCCACAAGCCCCAGTTGCAGTGAGAAGCAAAGGACACAACAGGCCCAGCAAGTACCTCACCTGCACTCTCAGTGCTCCTGGGGGTCTCTGGGAGCTCCATTTTGGAACCCACTTCTGACCAATTAAATTTAACAGAGTTTAATTGGGCACAGAGTGATTCACAAATTAGGCAGCGGAACTAGAACACGTTCAGAGAGACTCCAATGCTGGAGAAGATTCATGGACAGAAGAGAGCGGTATAGAAGCAGCTGGATTGGTTACAGCTCAGCATTTGCCTTACTAAAAATGGCTTGAACAGTTGGCCACCTTTGATCAGCCAAACTCCACCGTCAGCAAAGAGGAAGGAGTAGAAGGGAGTGAAGATAAGTGGAGCAGACTTTAGCTGGGACACACAGCTGACACTTTTGCTTTTGAACTTTTTAACTGAAGTTTCTTTTTAAGTGAAACCAATAAGTCTTAGCCAAGGTTACAACTTAATTAAGGAAGCAAGAGGTGTCTTTAAAGAGGTGGAGAACAGTTTTCATGGGATCCAGAAAAGCCACAAAAACAATTCAAAGAAAGAAAAATGTCACTAGTCATAAACAAGGTGTAACCCATAATTTTTGTCCAGCCATATTTTCTAGAGTCCCAGCTTTTCAGCTGACCATTTATATATAAATATCTAAAAGCCCTGCATGTCTCCACAGGATACAGGGAAGCAAAACCTGTGCACAGAAGGGAAGAGAATCAATGAATGGTGAAAGTTACACAAATGGCTCGTTCGCTGCCTAGGAATCAACCCTAGGCTGCTGAGGTGAAAGCATAGAATCTTAACCATTAGGCTAAAGGACAAACTGGCCTTTGCCATTTACCTTAGGAGCAATATTCAAATGATTTTTATCTTTTTTTTTTTTTTTGGCTCAATACTATGACGGAAGAGTGTAATGATTTTTATCTTTGTTAGATCAGATATTAGGCTAGTGCAACAGTAACTGGTTTCAGACTGAATTGTCAGTCATTATAACTAGGCTCAAACAGATCTTTATTAATCAAAATAGAAACTATTACAATCAACACATTTTTGCCAATGAGAAATAAGTTTGTTTATTCTTGTAGCCTAAAAATCCCTACTTCGGTATTCCACAAACTCTTGAAAAGCATTTTCTGCAGCCTGCTGATTGGGGAAGCGTTTTCCCTGCAAAAAGTTGTCAAGATGCTTGAAGAAGTGGTAGTCGATTAGCAAGAGGTCAAGTGAATATGGCAGATGGGGCAAAACTTCGTAGCCCAATTCATTCAACTTTTGAAGTGTTGGTTGTGCAACGTGCAGTTGGGTGTTGTCATGGAGAATTGTGCCCTTTCTGTTGACCAATGCTGGCTACAGGTGTTGCAGTATAGATTTGCTGACCAAACTTCTCAGATGGAATTGTTTCACCAGCATTCAGAAAGCTATAGTGGATCAGACCAGCAGCAGACCACCAAACAGTGACCAAGACCTTTTCTTGGTACAAGTTTGGCTTTGGGAAGTGCTTTGGAGCTTCTTCTTGGTCCAATCACTGAGAGGTTCATTGCTGGTTGTCGTATAAAATCCACTTTTCGTCCCACGTCACAATACAATCAAGAAATAGTTAATTGCTATCGCATACAATAAGAGAAGATGACATTTCAAAAGGATGATTTTTTTTTTTATTTTCAGTCAGCTCATGAGGCACCCACTTCTCAAGCTTTTTCACCTTTCCAATTTGCTTCAAATGCTGAACTACCGTAGAATGGTCTACGTTGAGTTCTTCGGCAACTTCTCATGTAGTTGTAAGAAAATCAGCTTCAATGTTTGCTCTCAATTGGTCATTGTCAACTTCTGATGGCCAGCCACTGCGCTCCTCATCTTAAGGCTCTCCTCTCTGTTGCAAAACTTCTTGAACCATCACTGCACTGCATGTTCATTAGCAGTTTCTGGGCCAAATGCATTGTTGATGTTTCCAGTTGTCTCTGCTGCTTTATGACCCATTTTGAACTCAAATATCACTCGAATTTGCTTTTTGTGTAACATTATTTCCATAGTCTAAAATAAATATTAAATAAACACCAATAAGTCATTAGCTAAAAAACATAAATTGAAAAAAAAAACATAAATTGAGAAATATGCATTAAAATGTATAACATAATCACATTTACTGAAGAATGCATACCAATATCTATTGGCAGATTTCAACAATGCTAAACCCGCAATTACTTTTGCACCAGAAGAGCACTTTTGCTCTTCAGTTTTGTCAAGACAAATTTTTTTTTCCTTTTTCTTTCTTTTTTTTTTTATTTCGGCATATTATGGGGGTACGGATTTTAAGGTTTCAATAAATGCCCATTCCCCCCCCACCCCCCACAAGTCTGAGTCTCCAGCATGACCATCCCCCAGATGGTGCACATCTCACTCATTATGTATGTATATACCCGCCCCCCTCCCCCCTCCCACCTGCCCAATACCCTATTACTGTAGTACCTATGTGACCACTTAGGTGCTATTCAGTTAATACCAATTTGCTGGTGAGTATATGTGGTGCTTGTTTTTCCATTCTTGGGAAACTTCACTTAATAGTATGGGTTCCAGCTCTAACCAGGAAAATATAAGATGTGCTATGTCACCATTGTTTCTTAGAGCTGAATAGTACTCCATGGTATACATATACCACATTTTATTAATCCATTCTTGGATTGATGGGCGCTTGGGCTGTTTCCACGGCCTTGTCAAGACAAATTTTAAGGGTAGCCACACATTAAGTGTCTTTCTTTTCATCTAATTTCACTTAATACAAACAAGGCAATTGTTTCAAATAAGAGATCTCTAAAATTTATTATTATTTTTTAATTTATAAGTTTTTTAATTTAAAGGATCCATCTTTTGGCTATTAATCTCAATGGTACATTTATCCCCAAAGTGATTTAATCCAATGTCTCTTCATAGAAAGCCCAGGTGGTAATTTCTCAGGTTTAGCCTAGAGAGGACATAGAGAAGGCAGTTCCCAAGACTCCCAAAAATTCACTCTCTGAAACAGACAAGATAACAAAGAGAGTAGGACCTTTTAAGACAAAGACTCCCAGCCAGGTGTGATGGCTCATGCCTGTAATCCTAGTATTCTGGGAGACTGAGGCAGAAGGATCGCTTGAATTCAAGAGTTTGAGACCAGCCTGAGCAAGAGTGAGACCCTGTCTCTACTACAAATAGAAAAAAAAAAGCTAGCCAGGCATAGTGGCACACGCCTGTAGTCCCAGCTCCTTGGGAGGCTGAGGCAGGAGGATCAATTGAGCCCAGGAGTTTGAGGTTGCCAAATGACACCACTACATTCTAGCTGGGGTGACAGAGAAAGACTCTGTCTCAAAAAAAGGAAGGAAGGAAGGAAGGAAGGAAGGAAGGAAGGAAGGAAGGAAGGAAGGAAGGGAGGGAGGGAGGGAGGGAGGGAGGGAGGGAGGAAGGACAAAGACTCCCCTAGAGCTTGACACAGTACAAGAGTACACTGCTTAGACTCTTTTACAGATTGGCCACCTGACATGTTCCTGAAAAAACACGCCCCTGGATGGTGGACACTGAGGAGAAAATTCCCTCTCAGTCACAAGACAAGCTCAGGGACAAATAATAGGATGAAAGTGGAACCTCATACAGTATTTTTTTTCAGAGATCTGCCGCAAAGTTTGCCTAAATAGAAGCCAATCTAGTCAGAACCATAGAACCAGCTTGCCTGCAGGGCCGGCTGCACAACCTGCAGGCTTATAGAGGAGCTAGGCCCACGTTCTATCCTCTGGTAACTCTCATTATAACAGAACAACACGGAAGGACAGCAACAAAATAAAGCAATACCAACAGCAACAAAAGGGCTATTTCTGAAAAGAAAGGGAATCAGACCATATGAATATTCATACCCCAAAGTACAAAAAAATCTACCAATACCAGAGTCTCTTTACAAAGAATAGTCACTCACAAAAACCTTTTATCTCATTAATCTTAAATTTGGAAAGGACAATGATCTCTATTGTCTGCCTAACTGGAGCCACAGAGAGAGAAAAAACAGGAGACTTACTGGTAAGCTGAGGTAAACTGTGTTGCTGGCTGGTCAAACTCTCCCTTCTCCTCACTGTGTCTTTCAGAAGAGCAGGGTGGCTTTGAGATCCCATGGACTATGCCAAACTGTGGGGGGTGAGGGGGAAACTTCCCCTTAACTCCATAGTTCACTGAAAGATCAACTCACAGTTAAGACAGATTAATCAGAGGTTTATTTACTATGCTCAGGGGGTGAATCACAGAGTGATTATGCAATATCCCAATGGGATCCAGGTATTTTTATAACCTCCTTTTAGAGGGGAGTAGGAGTTGAGGACTACAGGTAATTCTGCTTAGGGGTAATAAATGGGTGCTAAGGGAAATGAATGGATGAGAGGAAAAGATTGGCTTGTAAATTATTCTCTTGCCAAATTAAACTAACCTTGAGATAAACCAGGTCTCATTGCTTTCCTGATTTTCTTTCCTGCAATATATTGAGATAACAGGGAAGGGAAGGGAAGGGAAGTCTTTTGATGGTCTGTCTGGTTGTGCATATAGAAGGAAAGGGCCTTCATATCAAAATATTCTTTATACCAAGGAGTCAAATTTTGAGGTGAAATTTCCTGAGCTTTTCAACCCCATAAAATGTTATGAACTCCTAGGAACTCCTACAGCTCCCAGTTGTACATGCATGGATCTGACCCTTAAACCACGTACCATAAACTTTGAGAACTAGAGGGAGATCACGCAGGTCCCAGGCTGGCCACTGGGTGGCATACATCTGCAGCAGATCTGAGCAGCACTGCAAAGGCTTTGCCAGGAGAACTGATGTTGAGAACACAATCCACAGTAGGTTGGTCAGAACTTGTGACTTGAACAAAACCGGGTTGATTACCTGTTTGAAAAGAAACATTAGCATTTTCACAGGATTTAAACAAGATCCAGAGTTTCATAACATAATGTTTAAAATGTCCAGTATATAACCCAAAATTACTTGGCTTATAAAGAACCAGGAAATCTCAACTCACGTGGGAAAAAACAATCAACAGATCCCAATGTTGAGATGTCACAGATGTTGGAACTATCTGCAAATGACAGTAAAGCAGCTATTATAAGAGTGGCATGATTAAGTGTGAACACTCTTGAAATTAACAAAAAGATGAAAAGTCTCAGTGAGGAAATAGTACGAAGAAGAAACAAATGGAAATTTTAGAACTGAAAAATACAAGTGTATTTTGTCCTTTTGTCTTCTCAGTTTTATGTCTTGTTTTAAAACCCTTCCTTGCTTCAAAATTATTTTGTGAAATTGCTGGAGAATTTCTTTTATTATCTTTACAGATACTTTTTTTTTTTTTTTTTTGAGACAGGGTCTTGCTCGCTCACCTGGGTAGAGTGCAGAGGGGTCATCATAGCTCACGGCAACCTCTAACTCCTGGATTCAAGCGATCCTCCTACCTCAGCCTCCCAAGTAGCTAGGACTATAGGTGTGCACCACCACACAAGTCTACAGATACTTTTTTACATTTAAGACTCTGGCGTATCTGGAAATTATTTTAGGTTTTCGATCAGCTATAATTTTTTTTTCTTTTCTAACCTTGGCTCTTTCATCAATGCTCCAGCTTCCTGGAGGGGTTCCAGAACAATCCAGATTTCCCAGATCCTTGGGAACATGACCAAACTTGGCTTCTTGACACATTGCTGATTGTGACTTAGGACCCCTAAGCCCTCTCCTGCTCACTAAGTCCTTAGTCCAGACCCTAGGAGAACTGGGACAGACCATTGTCACTGTGGCATGTGGGTTCCAGGTGTCCCCACAGTGACCCAGATGCTCATTTGACTCAGAGTCACGGACTGTAGGACTTCCTCTGTAAATTCTGCCCTGGCTCCCTCCCCCGCTGGCCCCCACCCCATCTGTGCACTGCCCTGCCAGCTCTTCTAAGGAAATTTGCATCATGGCCTTGTTGGGACAGCTTCATTGAGCCATGGTCTGTTCACCCACCTGCCTGCTGCTCCTGACCATGACTCTTCCCCTGCTGGGCTCACCAGCTGCCCGAGCATCTCAACCTGTAAGTAAGACTGGAGGAATACCCAGGGGAGGCCTGCAGAGGTGATGCTAGGGGCCTCTGGTTGTGAGGCACAGCAAGGTGTGGGGTCAGGGGACTGGTGGGGGGCAAGGACTGAAGGGAGAGGAAATATAACATGAAAGGAAAGAAGCCAGGTTAGTATAGACTGTGAGAGTCCAGTCTGATTTTCCTGAGTTTGGGGTTAGCTTTTGTTTCTTTGTTTCAGTCCCTGTGAACTGCAGTGATACCTGCTGCACTTTGGATAAACACTCTTCCAGTCAAGCGGGCCATTTAAAAGTGAAAAGAAAACTTTCAGATTTGGGAACCACTGGCATAGACAATAGGAGGGAATCGGGGAAAGGCATCAGAGTCTAGATTGGTACCTTTTGATCCGTTTTCTCCCAGGCAGATACCTATGTCTATGTCTGTATCTGTATCTACACATCCACACTTCTAAACCCAAATCTATTTCTATCTCTAAATGTAAATCTATATCCATCTTTATCTACATCTACATGTATATCAATATCTAAATCTATCTATATCTTTTTTTTTTATTTTTGTAGAGACAGAGTCTTGCTATGTTGTCCAGGCTGGTCTGGAACTCCTGGGTTCGAGTGATCATCCCGAGTAGCTGGGACTAAGAGCAAGCCCCACCACGCCCAGTGCTTATATCCATATCTATATCCATAGCCATATCCATACCGGTATCTGGTTTTACACAGATGTCCACGTGCATGTGCAATTTTGAGAGAGGAAGAAGTTAGTGAGGAAATAATATACATGAAGCACAGACTAGGGGAAGAGGCTGCCTTCTGCTTCCCCTTGTGTCAAATCCTATGGAAGGAATAAAGTCCCTAAGTCTCTGGGCCGGCCAGCTCTGCCCAGCACCCCTGCTGGAGCTCCAGACCCAGCCATTTCAATAAACCTAGAGGCCCAGGGACAGGTAAATTCAGGAAGGAATTAAACAAAGCATATTGACTCCCCAGGGCGTGCCTGGTTCCTGGTTTTAGGTGGGATCTGCAGGGCCTGGCAGGGCTCCTGGGGCTGCATCCCTGGCACCCATCCAGAAGCCCGCTTCCCCTTCCTAATGGGTATGTTGAGTCCCAGCAAAAAGAAGAGCTTCCAAGGGACCAAGTCATCCTGGTTGAGACCAGCCAGCCTGGCTGCTGAAGAGTTCTTGGGAGGGACTTGAGGTCAACCTCTTCCCAGGTCTCTCTTTTGTGTTCTGTTCCAGGGACAGAGTCAGGCTGGAAGGGAATCTGGGCAACTCCTGGCCCGCAGGAGTGCAGCAGGGGGTGAGTGGCTGGCCAGGGGAGGGAGGGAGGAGGAGGAAAGAAGGAGCCAGGAGAGGGCACGGTGTCGGTGAGGAGTGGCAGGAGTAGAAGAGGACCAGCTCAGGCAGTCTGCCACGTCTGCATCCAGTTCTCTAGCCATGAGGCCTTGAGGAGCTCATTCACCTCTGCAGCCTCACCTATGACGTGGGGGCTGCTGGGAGGATGCCCTGAAGCAGTGTATCTGGATGTGCCCTGAGTCCTGTCTGTGCACCTAGACAGGCTACGGGAGGGGGATCTGCTCTGTGTCCCTAGGAATGGCCAGGGCGGTGTGAGAGGGGAGAAGGGACTGCCTGTGCATTGCTGTCTCCTCTCCAGGTGTCCCCTCTGCTCCTGTGGAATCAGTTCTGGTCTCTGTCTATGTACATCTGGACTTTCCAGACAAGACCTGGCCACTGGCTCTCTCCAGGACCCTGACCCTCCCTGCTGCCCTAGCTTCTGCTTCCCCAGGAACTCTCACCAGCCTCAGCCTCACAACAGGTGCCACTTGTTGCAGTGGAGGGAACTAGGCTTCCGAGCCCTCCCACAGCCGGCTGGCCTGAGGCCCTGTGTGCCCCTCCCCATCTCCTGGACGGCTGCCTGGTTCCTTCTCCCTGGCCCAACTCCTTCCCCACCATGCCCAACACCACACAGACCTTTCCCCGCCTGTCCCACCTCGTCTTTGAACTCAGGCCGAGGGCCCAGGGCCACACAGTGCAGGCTGGGACTTCCACCCTCACCCCTAACGCCTCCCCTCCCAGCATGGCATCTGCTGCCCCGAGCCCTGCCTGAGGAGGTGCGGTCCCTCGGGTGGGCCTGGTCCAGATTCCCAGCCTCAAACAGCCCTGAGGCCTCTCGGGCGCCCACCTGGCTTCTCAGACAGCCTGCCCCCTTCTTACCCCCCTTCTCTGTCACAGAGTGTGACGTCAACCTCGAGGGGCATATCGATTGTTCTTGTCTCTCTGGGTACCAGTGGAACGCCAGTGTCTGCTCCCGTCACCGGCCCTGCCAAGCCTTCCGCAGCGACCGGCCCTGTGGCTGTCTTGTCTTCAGCCAGCCTGAACCTGGGTACTGCCAGTTGCTGCCACCTGGTGAGGCGGGGTGGGAACTTGGAAACCGATGGCTTCAAGTGAAAGAAATGCTCCCTGTTTTTTCTTCCTCTCTGAACCTGTGTTTCAGCCCCGGGCCCAGGCCCCGCTGCTCCCCTGTGTGGGAGAAGAGCCAACCTTCACAGCAGATCGCAGGCCCTGGGCTCAGGACCTGTGAGACTAACGGGGGCCCAGAGACACAGGGACAAGTGGAGAAAGTGCTAGAGTGACCCTGCTTTTTACCCTCAGAGAACAGGAAGTGGCTCCAGCAGCCCCACGTTCCTGGGGAGGGGAAGTCATAGGTCAAAAAGTTGTCTTTTTAGATCCCAGTAACAGGGTCCTCCAGGCTGGACGACAGGGCACACTCAGATGCCCACCCAGGGACAAAAAGGGAAAAAAAAGAAAGAAAAAAAAGCTAGGTGGGAGGGCACTTGGAGGAATAAGCCTCAGAGATGGGGAAGGAGTGAGCTCCTCCTCAGGAACTCTCTGCCTCCTGCCTCCCTGCAGTCCCCGGAAACCTGAGCCTGAACTCCCCGCTGCAGATGCCTGGCCACACGCTGAACCTGACTCTCCTCATCAGCCAGGAGGCCACCAACCTCAACTGGTTCCTGAGGCACCCTGGGAGCCACAGACCGGTCCTCCTGCAGCCAGGGACACAGGTGTCCCTGACCTCCAGCCGGGGCCAGGCTGCCCTCACCATCTCCAACATGTCCCATCACTGGGCAGGTAGCCAGCCGGGCCTGCCCTCGCCTCTCTTCTCTTTCTTTTTCTTCACCTTTCTTCTCTGCTTTACTTTACCTCTTCCTCCCACTCTTCCCTCCTTCTCCTTCCTTCTTTTCTTTTCACCTCTTCCTTGCCCTTTTCATATTTCTATTTATTCATTCTGAGGGAAAAAAAGGCTAAGAGGCCCATTGGTGTGAAAAATTATAATGTGGAAAATTCTAAAAATGGCCAGCTGTTTTCAGTATGGTCCGGGGATTTCTGGGACCCTTTTAGCGGTTCACGAAGTCACAATTATTGTCCTAATATACTCAGATGTCACTTGTCCCTTTCTCTCTCACTCCCTTACGAGTGGACAGCAGCCTCTTCCAGAGGCTGCAGGGGTCTCGCAGATTGAACACAGATAGGACAGTAGGACAACCCGGCCGGCTACCACTCAGCCAGACATTAGAGAGATTTGCACAAATATGAAACAATGTCCAATGTCACTCTTCTACTTATGTTTTGGAAAATAAAGTTATTTTTCATAAGAACATTTCTGTTAAGAAAAATATTATAATGTGGGGAATGATGAAAATATGGTCTCAATTTCAGCTGAGAAGAGATCCAAGTTTTTGTAGACACTACAATGGCAGGCAGGGGGCAGGAAGGACAACTGCTATAGGGAGAGAGGTTCGCCTTGGAGTTCATGGACACAGGCTAATAAAATGGGCCAGGAGCCTCTTCTACAGATTTTTTCTTCTGCCTGGAAATCCTTCTTGGGGGCAGGGAACATCTACATGGGCCATCCTGGGACCTTTCTTGCTGGGGTTAAGCACTGGGCGCTGGCAGAGGACGGAGCGAGAAGGCAGATCTGGGCTGAGGCTTGGGAGGCAATGGAGATTCTGTGGTGCCTGTGAGCCCAGAGGGGTCCCCATTGCAGCAGATGTGTATCTGCAGGTGAGTACATGAGCTGCTTCGAGGCCCAGGGATTCAAGTGGAACCTGTACCAGGTGGTGAGGGTGCCTTTGGAGGTGACAGATGTGGTTCGACTTCCAGAGCAGCTCTCCGTCTCCTGTGCCACCTCCCCTGGCTTCCAGCTGAGCTGCTGCCTCCCCCGCACAAACCTGGCCTACACAGCTGCCTGGAGCCCTGGAGCAGACGGCGAAGGTAAGAGAGGGGCAGCTCTCAGGCGTCAGGGGTGAAAGGGGGCAGCTTCTCTCCTCCAGGGGGCTGGGTCTTCAGCTCATGAGAAGCAGAGGCTTCAGTCCAACCAGGGACTTGGGGGTCCAAGTCCAACACTGTTTTCACCTCATCAAAGCAATCCTACCTCTACTGATATAACACAGCCAGAGTGCACAGGTAAGTTTTTGCAAAATGCTTTCATCCATACAGTCACATTGAACTCTCTGTGAGGTTAGTTTGAGGATAGTCCCCATTTTACAAATGAGGAAACTGAGTCCTGGAGCTACTCAGAGACCCCCAGCGTCCCTCTCAGCAACATCAACCTCTGCCCTCCATCACTTGATGTCCACACACTCCTTGGGCTCTTCCCCACTGCCTCTGCTGCTTCTGAAATTGCTAGAAAGACTGAGACAGCATGTCCAGGCCTGCTGGGCTCTAGGCCCGGAACAAGCCCAGCGACGGCTCCCTTCTCTCTTCTCACCCTCAGCCTCCTCATTCAACATGTCAGGCTCCCAGTGCCTCGTGCTGGCCGTTCAGCACTGCCCAGCGGCTGACACCACATACACTTGTGACCTACAGAGCCACGGCCTCACTCCCCTCAGGGTCCCTGTCTCCGTGACCATCATCCAGGGTACGTGGGGCTTGGGGTGCAGTGGGCCGACCTCAGCTGCTTGCCCTGGGGGCACGAGCTCTCCTCCATGGCACTCTGTTTCCTGGGCAATGGGGCCAGGATCCCAGGCCTGTACAGTTGCTGCCCAAGGAAAGGCTCAGGTGGAACTGTGATTGCTGAATCTTCACTGACCTTCATTCTTCAGATGGAGACATTACCTGCCCTAAGGACTCCTCAGGTGTGGCCTGGAATGTCACCAAGGCTGGCCACGTGGCACAGGCCCCATGTCCCGTGAATAAGAGCGGAGTGGTGAAGAGGTCCTGTGGGCCCGACGGGGTCTGGGGGCCCATCCGCAGCAGCTGCACAGACGAGAGGCTCCTGGCCTTGCTCACCCGAGCCAGGGTAAAGCTCCCGCCCCGCCGCCCACGGGCTCCCCGCTCCGTGACCCATCCTCCCTCACTCAGGACCCAGCAGGAGGGTCCCCAGGCCCAGCCCACAGGTTATTCAGCTTCTCTGAACCAGAGCCCTAGCAGAGCCAGGACCTGGGTGTGGAGGCTTCAGAGGCACCAGCACTCCCATGGGAAGGGGAGATGCTGTTCTTGAACCCTAATTCCATGTGTGCCTCCCCCTTACATTGGTGTCAGTCCCTTCCATGTGGCTCACTCACTCCCCTCTCTGCTTCCTGCTCCCCCCGGGACAAGGCACGGGATGGGGGTGGAAAGCGGCTGGACGGAAAGAGAAGGAGGTGGCCCCTCCCTCGTGAGGACTCTCCTGCCACCCGCCTCCTGCTGTCTCGTCTGTCTCAGCTGCTGCAGGCCGGCCAGGGCAAGCCCGATGAGGAGGTGCCACAGATCCTGAGGGAGCTGTCAGGGCAGGTGGCGGGGGCAAGCTCGCCCTCTGACCTACTGACGCTGCTGCGCACCATGAAATGCCTGGCCAAGGTGGCGGCAAAGGCCAGAGTACAGCTTGAGCGCAGTGCCCTGGAGGTGAGATCCCTGAGCCACGGAGAGGCCAGTTGGGCAATGGGGCATGGAGACATTTTGCCTGTGGGCACTTCTGTCCCTCTGACATCACGGTGGGCTGTCAGACAGCAGACATACCTGGAGTCCAAGTGTCTGCGCTCCTGGGCTCCTGGTCCATTTCCCCTCTTGCACGTCAGTCTCCCGGGCGATGGAGCGTGGGAAAGACCTGATGCTGGGAACATGTGGGAGGGCAGAGGGCAGGAAAGGGTGTGCAGACATGAGTGCAGAGACAGTATGCACACACAGACCCAGGACTATCATGTGCACATAGAGACACTCTAACACGCCTGTCTTTGCTGGACTCACCTAAATCAGCTCAGGATGGGCCTCAGTTGGTGACTCGTAAGCTGCAGCCAAAACAGTTACAAGGGGCAATGATACTACTCACCTTTCATGTCTGGGAATATGTAGCACATGGGGGTACACAGACTCGCATGTGGCCCTTGCCTTCAGAACATTGTGCCTTCTACCACTGGTCACCACTCCTAGCTCTGAGGACTTGGAGGGGTCAAGGAATTGGAGAAGTTCCCTCTTAGGACCTGGGTGGCCCCAAGGGATGGGAGGGAAGAAGGGATGTCAGGCAGAGGGGTGGGTGTGTGTCAGGGGACCGCACACTTAAAGATGCCCCTAGGTGGTTGGTGGAGTAGCTTCCCATCCTTCCCTTCTAGAAAATCTCCCTTCACAGACCTGTCCTCCTCTTTCCTCTTCTCTCCAACCTTGACGCTTACCTGGACCGGGAAGGGTAGGTTTGGGGTCTGTAGCTCTCAGTGCTCCTGGCTGAGAACTGCAGGCTCGAGCAGATTGGGCCATTTCTCTGTTGGGTGCTGCAGAATCTCCTGACAACCACAGACAAGGTCCTAGACATGGACACCAGTTCTCTGTGGACCGAGAAGCCCCGGGTGGGCTCAACTTTCCTGCTGGCTGTGGAGACCCTGGCACGCAGCTTGTGCCCACAAGATCATCCCTTCACCTTCAGTTTGCCCAACGTGCAGCTGCAGACCCGGCTCCTCGGCCCCACGTTGCCTGCTGACTATAAGATCTCCTTCTCCACGTGGCCCCCCCTGCACGCACAGATTCCCAGGCACACACTGGCCCTGCTGCGCCACAATGGAACCAAAGTCAGTATTACCAGCCTGGTACTGCAAAAGCTGGACCAACTTTTGCCCTCAAACTACGGACAAGGGCTTGGGGACTCCCTCTATACCACTCCTGGCCTGGTCCTTGTCATCTCCATCATGGCAGATGGCCAGACCTTCCACCAGGGAGAGGTCATCATGGACTTCGGGCACACAAAGGGGACCCCTCACTGTGTCTTCTGGGATCACAATCTCTTCCCGGGCAAGGGGGGTTGGTCCAGAGAAGGATGCCAGGCACAGGCAGCCTATGCCAGCCTGACCACCCAGTGCATCTGCCAGCACCTCACTGCCTTCTCCATCCTCATGTCCCCACACACTGTTCCTGATGATCGCGCCCTGGCACTGCTGAGTCAGCTGGGCTTGGGGGCTTCCATACTGGCACTGCTTGTGTGCCTAGGCGTGTACAGGCTGGTCTGGAGAGTCGTGGTGCGGAACAAGGTCGCCTACTTCCGCCACACTGCTCTGCTCAATGTGGTGCTCTGCTTGCTGGCTGCAGACACCTGCTTCCTGGGAGCCACACTGCTCCCTCCAGGGTCCCACAGCCCACTCTGCCTCACTGCTACCTTCCTCTGTCATTTCTTCTACCTGGCCACGTTCTTCTGGATGCTGGCGCAGGCCCTGGTGCTGGCCCACCAGCTGCTCTTCGTCTTCCAGCAGCTGTCCATCCACCGAGTCCTCCCCCTGATGGTGCTCCTTGGCTACCTGTGCCCCCTGGGGTTTGCAGGTGTCACCCTGGGCCTCTACCTACCTAGAGGGCAATACCTGAGGGAGGGGGAGTGCTGGTTAGATGGGAAAGGAGGGGCACTCTACACTTTCGTGGGGCCAGTGCTGGCCATCGTAGGTGTGAACGGGTTGGTACTAGCCATGGCTGTGCTGAAGTTGCTGAGACCTTCGCTGTCAGAGGGACCACCCGTAGAGAAGCGTCAAGCTCTTCTGGGGGTGATCAAAGCCCTGCTCATTCTCACACCCATCTTTGGCCTCACCTGGGGGCTGGGCCTGGCCACTCTGTTAGAAGAAGTCTCCACAGTCCCTCATTACATCTTCACCATTCTCAACACTTTCCAGGTAGGTGGCAGGGTGGTGACTGTGCTTTTTGTCCTTTTGATGGTCTAAGTCACTGCCAATTCCTTCTCAAGGTAGAATCACACTGGAACAGAAGAAAATAAGTTCAGGAATTTTCAAAAGTTTAGGTATCGGTCCCAGCTCCTCCACCGACTAGCTGGATAACTTTGGACAAATGATATAACCTCTCTAAGCTTTGGTTTTATTACCTGTAAAATAATAGCTGATTTTGCCAGAGAATTCAGGAAATTATCAGTACCCAATCCTTTGATATCTTAATCACAAGAATAAGAAAAGCATCTGGAATGGATCCTATGCACCAAAAGGTCCTAATGTATACGAAAACAAACGGATAGCCTCAGGATGTGAATCAGACAAGAGGACAGGTTGAAGGAAGTGCAGAGGGAACGAATTGACTTGGGTTGACCCCTTCCTTCGTGACCAGCTCACCCCTGTGCTCCTCTTCTCAGGGTGTCTTCATCTTATTGTTTGGTTGCCTCACAGACAAGAAGGTGAGTCTGCCCACCTAGCCCCCCCGCCTGCTTTGCAGACCGAAGGCCGGGACTTCGGCTGGCATAGCTGGGTGTTTACTTCTTCTACAGGTACAAGAGGCTTTACGCAAACACTTCTGCCGCACCCAACTCCCCAACTCCACTGTCTCCCTGGTAAGTAGCCAGCTTGGAATCCTCAGCTCTTCCCCTGAAAGCTGATCAGGTGTTCCACAGCCTTCCCCAAAGGACATGGGCACAGCTAGAAGCAGAAAAGATTGGGGTTGTTTTTTAGACAGCCGATTTCAAGTTCAAGGTCTCAGACTATGGAGGGAACAGCCTAGTCAGAGAGGTCAGAATCAGATTCCTGGTTTTCCCATTATGACCTGGGTTCCTGGGGACTCTCTTCCTCCTGATGTCCCCATTTAAAAATCTGCCTCTAGCTAGCATTTGAAGGGATAATGTAGGATTGTTATGCATGGGAGTTACTGCAGCTGAGAGCAAAGTTCCTAGGATTACTGGAAGCCAGGCAGGAGTGCGTGTGAAAAAGTAAAATGGGTACAACCTCTTCAGAGGAGAGTTGACTGTAATAATCATCTCCCTGCAATTGGACCTTCCCACCGCTTCCTAGGCCACCAGCGAAAGCTCCATATCAGAGTGCAGCAAAGGAGGAAGTGAAGCTGCCAGGTGAGAGCTAAGCTTTCTCAGAGCAGTGTGAGCAGCGTGGAGGGGTGTAGCAAAGAGCCTCCTGGCAGAGTTCTTGACAGAAGGCTCCTGCACACATACCCAGCCCCGCCCAGTGGGTGGAAAGCAGGTTTTCCTAGGGCGGCCATTCCTAGATGGGCTGGGGAAGGTGGAGGCCCCAGAAAGCAGACAGCATAGCATCGACTCTTGCTTTCCAAGAAAGCCAAAGGGAGTTTCGCCACCAATTCTTGACTCAGTTCACTGTGAAAATTCCTTTTCATACTATCACACTTCTAATTATCCTGAAAAACCCTTGCCCTAAGGCATTGCCACTGGTGGGGTTGGAGTCCAGAGCGAGGGGTCTCCAGAGGTCGGGCAAAGTCTCCCTTCAGCAGCCCCAGGCTTCAGGGCGAGCTTCTTCCCAGGGAAGACAGACGCTTCAGAGGGAACCACGCAGACCCACGTTCCCGCAAGGGAGTCAAGGCCACATGCTTGAATCCACCAGACAGGCCCCAGCCCATTACTCTGAACCCTTCTCCACTCCCCAAGCTCAGCCCTGGGTGAGGCAGGCTCATATTTCCATTAGTCACACTCATTTCTCTTGCAGCTCACCTGGACCCACCCCTAGAGTATCCAAGCAAGAATAGCATGAAAAACTAGTTAAAGCCACCTGATGAATAAGCCTGTCCTTGCTATAAAAATAGTCCACAGATATCCAAGTTCAGAATAATTACAAGTAAACTGTCTCAACCAGTTTTTAACTAATCGACAGTGCATGTTATGGATATATTTGATTAAAATGGTTTTATCTATTCAGTGATTTCTTTTCTGATTATTTCTTTTTTTTAATAGTTACAAAGAAAGGATGACTTAATGGACAGGACTCTCTGATCTTCCAAACTCTGGAGAAGGGCAGAATTTGATTGATTCCTTATCAAGTTTAGGAAAAGGTGAAGTTAATTGGTCCCTCTTTCTTAAACCTTTAATAAAATCAATATAAAATGTAAGTTCCATAGACATATCCACATATACAAAAAGGCATTGATATAAGCACATTTGTAAGAATGGGTTATAAAATTTAAAGTAGGGGGAAAGGTACCACAGAGAAATATTACAAACACTAATATTTAAAAGTGACAGGATCAAGCTAAGGCTAGAGAAGATAGATTTAAGAAAATCTTTTAGAGGACACTCAGACATCTGGCTGAATTAATTTATGGAATCCACAAGCAGAAGATGACAGGAGTCTGAGAAATTTTTTAACTAGATAAATGAAATAATTTTGATGAATTAGTCTTTGTTAATTATGCAATTCATGTATATTTTTATAAAATGGGATGGGGATGTTTTCTGTCACAATAAAAATGGATGTTACCACATGCTGTTGAACACATTTTTCTTAGAAACACTGTATCTTCACTTAATGATTTGTGTGACTATTTTAATTGTGTAGAAACCAGCCCAAATGTTTCTATCAATAGATTCAATCGTGCTTTCGAAGAGAAGAAATCAGGGCCATGGCGATGTTCCTCAGGCTTGCTCCAGCCCCTGCAGGAGACAGGCAGTGACTGAGGTTGAGGGCTCTGCCTTGCAGCGCAGTCATGTCTCAATTCCACTTCATTTCACTTTCACTGCAATAGTATTTGCAGTCTCCATTTTTGAATTATAAAAGTACTCCTGGGTTACATATTCAAATAATACCCTTTCACTTTAGAGACAGCAGGGACTTCTTTTCTGAGAGTGATTCTGTAGATACATGTGTTCTCATTTTCCTTTGCAAATGATAGCACATACTTAGTGCATGCTCTGCTGATAAAAACACACATTTCAAACTGACAGATAAAATGACATTAAGCCTTTGTTTATTTGGCTCTCACCATAAAAAGTAAAAGGACCATAAAAGAAAGCTCTGGAGACAATGATAAGAAAACTGACATTTAACAGCAATTCCATTTCTAAAAGGATGGCTTAAAGAAATAAGTGGACAAGTGAACAGATAAATGTACAAAGGATATGTATTTAGGATAATATAGTTACCTTGCGTGTGTGTGTGGTAAGAGCATGTAAAATCTACTCTCTTAGCAAGTTTCCAGTGTATGTGTGTTTACATCCTCTAAAAAGAGGAACCTAAAAAATATATTAGGATATATCTATACCAAGGAACACTATGTGGTCATTAAAAATGATGATGTATACCTACACCTACTAATATGGAAACATGTTTAGGCTATATATCTAAGTAAAACAAAAGGGTTCCAGAACAGCATCATACTATGCAATTTTGGTTCATACACAGGAGAGATATAAAAACATTAACAGTGGGTATCCCAACTTGATTTTTCATTTTCTTTCTACTCTATATTGTTGGCATTTTTTTTTTGCAATGAGCATTTTTTTTCTTTTTTTTCTTTTTTAAAAGTACACACTGTAACCAAAAATGAGCATTTTTTATTGTATTAGATTTACGTTTTGATATACATATAGAGTGAACTGATTACTAAAGTCAAGCTGATTAACATATCTATCATCTCACATAGTTACCTTTTGTGTATGTGTGTGTGTGTGTGTGTGTTTGTGTGTGGTGAGAACACATAAAATCTACTCTCTTAGCAAATTTCCAGCATACAATATTAACTGTAGTCTTCATATTGTACATTTGTTCTCCGGACTTATGCATCCTACATAACTGCAATGTGGGGGCATGTATGTTTATATCAGGAAAAAATGACTTTGAAAAAATTCTCATGAACACTTTGCATATTTAAAAATATAAACTTGTGCCCCTGCTTTTCATCCCTTGAGAAAGACCAGAATTGTAGAGGCCTGGAGGACACAAACACAACTGAGAAAGGTAGGAGGAGAAGACAGGCTGAGAAGAATTAAGATTCTTTCCTCTGGAAAGAAGCAAGCAAAGGGGGCAGGAATTTTTGTCTGTTTCCCTGGTTGCTATAGCCGCAGCGTCTAGAATAGAGTCTGAAACATAACAACTCAATACACACTTGTTGAATGAATGAACTACATAGACCGTAGAAAGACCATGAACTGTTACTGAGGCTCAGAGACCATCTGAAGCAAACAGCTGGGGAGAAGGGGACAAACTTTCCTAAGTCTGAAGGAGAGAAGGTGAGTGCAGATAAAAGGCTCTACTCCTAAATGGCTATTTGGTGGAACAGAAGACCTTATTAAAGTTTTTCATGAAAAGAGACACTTAAGTGGAGATCTTTAAGAATAACATAACCCGTCTAAGAACAAACATCAAGGGCTATGTAGATGGAGGCTGAGCCAAGCCACCACAGCCAAGGACGACCTTTTATAGCAGCCAGGCTAATGCCATGATCTGGCTGTCCCTTATGTGTACAGAATGATTTAACTTCTGTAAAGTTGGGTGAACCTATGACACAACCTCAGAACTAGGACTCGAGCATCACTATGGAAGCTACCTGTGTGCTCCTCTCCGATCCGATCCCAATGTCCCCCACCCACTGCTAACCTCTATCCTGAATGTGTCTTTCCTTAGCTTTGTTTTTTAATTTTAAAATTATGGCAAAATCACATAATATAAAATTTACCGTTTGAACCATTTTCAAGTATACAGTTCAAGACAGTACATTCACAGTGTTGTTTAACCAATCTTCAGGACTCTTCATTTTTCACATCTAAAACTCTGTATCATGAAACAACCACTTCCCACATCCCTTTCCCCATCCTCTAGCAACCACCATGTTATTTTCTGTCTCTAGGAATTTGACTATTCTAGGTGCTTTATGTAAGTGGAATCATATAGTATTTGTGCTTTTTGACTGGCTTAGTTAGCATAATGTCCTCAAAGTCCATCCATATTATAGCATGTCACAGGACTGCCTTCCCTTTTAAGGCTGCATAATATTTCATTGTCTGTGTACACCATATTCTGTTTAGCCATTCATCTGTACTTTGTTTATCCATTTATCTGTTGATGGATATTTGAGTTGTTTTCACCTTTTGGCTATTGTGAATAATGCTGCTCCAGCATATAAATATTTCTCCAAGACTCTGCTTTCAATTCTTTGGGGTATATACCCTGAAATAGAACTGCTGGCTTGTATGGTAATTCTATGTTTAATTTCTTGAGGAACTGCCATGCTGTTTCTTGTAGCAGCTACACCATTCTACATTCCTATAAACAGCACAAAAGGGTTTCAGTTTCTCCACATCCTCACCAACCCATGTTATTTTCTGTTCTTTTGATAGTAGCCTTCCTACTGGATGTGAGGTACAATCTCTTTGTGGTTTTGAGTTGCATCTCCCTAATGATTAGAGATGCTGAACATCCTTAATTGGCCATCTTTCTTTGGACACGAAGATACTCAAATTCTTTGCCCATTTTATAAAGGAGGTTGTTTCTCTGGGTGTGAATTGTGGTTCTTTATATATTTTGGATATTAACCCCTTATTGGATATCTGATTTGCAATATTTTCTCTCATTCCATAGGTTATCTTTTCACTCTGTTGACTGTGCCCTTTGATGCACAGAAGTTTTAAATTTTGACGAAATATGATTTAATCTATTTTTTCTTTTGTTGCCTGTGCTTTTGGTGCCATATCCAAGAAATTATTGCCAAATCTAGTATCATGTATTTTTCCCTATATGTTCTTCTAAGGTCCAACTGTAACCTTTTGCATGTGGATATCCAGTTTTCCCAATACTATCTGTTGAAAAGACTGTCCTTTCCCTACTGAATGCTCTTGGAATCCTTGTCAAAAATCATTTGACCATGTATGTGACAGTTTATTTCTGGGCTTTTTTTTTTTTTTTTTTTTTTGAGAAAGAGACAGGGTCTCACTGTACTATAATCTCAAACTCCTGGCCTTAAGTGATCCTCCCAACTCAGCCTACCAACACGCTGGGATTACAGACATGAGCCACACCACTTGGCTCTTTTTTTAAACTATTAACTAAACTCCAGACTATATTCAGATTTCACTATTTTTTCCATTAATGTCCTTTTTCTGTTTCAGAATCCAATCCAGGATATCATGTTACATTTAGTTGTCATGTCTCTCCTTAGCCTCCTCTGGTCTGTGACAGTTTCTCAGTATTTCCTTTTAATGACCTTGAGAGTTTTGAATATTGGTCAAGTATTTTGTAGAAGGTCCCTTAATTTGGGTTTGCCTGATGTATTCCCATGATTCAACTGGGTTATGGGAATTTGGAAAGAGTACCATAGAGGGGAAGTTCGCCCTTTATCACATCTTATCAGGAGGTATGTGATATCCATATGAAAGCATTGATGTTAACCTTGACACTCAGGTTAAGCTGGTGTTTGCCATTTCTCCTTGTAAGGTTACCTTTTTCCCCCTTTCCATACTTTATCCATTGGAATTGAGTCACTATGTCCAGCCCACACCCATGGCAGGGGTGTAGGAGGTGTGTTCCACCTCCTGGAGGGAGGAATATACACATGTATTATTTGCAATTCTTTGGTAAGGAAGATTTCTCTCTTTTCCCTTAACTATTTTAGAAACTATATTTCATATGAAGGCATCCTAGAAATTACTTAGTTTTCCTTGTTTTTGAACTTTTCCTGTCAACGAACGTGAATTATTTACCACATTTTGCTACTAAAAGCAAAGCCACTACGAACAGGCCTGTACATGTTTCCTGGACTCATGTGCAAGTTTCTTTAGGGACTATTCCCTAAATGCTGGGTCACAGACCTTGTGTCACCAATGCACGAGTGCCAGACTGTTTTCCAAAATGCTCATACCAATTTGCATTCTCACCAGCAGTGTATGAGGCTCCTATTGTTCTATGTCCTCACCAACAATGGTATTCTCAGTCTTGCTAATTTTTGCCAGTCTCGTGGGTATACAATAGTATCTCATTATGACCTTAATTTGTTTTTCCCTGATTACTATTGAGAATCTTTTCATGTTTATTCATCATTTGTGTATTATTTTCTAAAAGATGATGCCTTAATATCCTTTGCCCATTTTTCTATTGAGTTGTCTTTTTTTTTTTTTTTTTTTTTGAGACAGAGTCTCGCTTTGTTGCCCAGGCTAGAGTGAGTGCCGTGGCGTCAGCCTAGCTCACAGCAACCTCAAACTCCTGGGCTCAAGGGATCCTCCTGCCTCAGCCTCCCAAGTAGCTGGGACTACAGGCATGTGCCACCATGCCCGGCTAATTTTTTCTATATATATTAGTTGGCCAATTAATTTCTTTCTATTTATAGTAGAGACAGGGTCTCGCTCTTGCTCAGGCTGGTTTCGAACTCCTGACCTCGAGCAATCCTTCCTAAGAGGAGCTAGGAACTATAGATGTCACTGAGAGCCACCGCGCCCGGCCTTATTGAGTTGTCTTTACACTTATTGATTTGTAGGAATTGTTTAAACATTCAAGATCCTTTGTAAGCTGTATCTACTACAGATATCTTTGCTTGACTTGTGGCTTGTCTTTCCCCCACTCTGTATTACATGAAGAACAAAAGTTCTTATTTCAACATAGGCAAATTTATAGATCTTTTATGATTAGCACTTTAAATGTCTTCTTCAAGAAGTCCCTCTTTCTCTTCAACTTAAGGTCACAGTGATGTTTTTTTCTAAATTCTAAAGTTTTTTACCTTTTATATTTATGTGGAGTTTTATATGTTTTACCTTTTATATTTATCTGATTTTTATGATATGTATGTAAATATAATGATTTTCAGTGTTAAAAATTCATATTATGTTGATGGCCGGCACAGTGGCTCACACCTATAATCCTAGCACTCTGGGAGGCTGAGGCGGGCGGATAGCTCGAAGTCAGAAGTTCAAAACCAGCCTGAGCAAGAGCGAGACCCCATCTCTACCATAAATAGAAAGAAATTAATTGGCCAACTAATATATATAGAAAAAATTAGCCGGGCATGGTGGCACATGCCTGTAGTCCCAGCTACTTGGGAGGCTGAGGCAGGAGGATTGCTTGAGCCCAGGAGTTTGAGGTTCCTGTGAGCTAAGCTGATGCCACAGCACTCACTCTAGCCTGGGCAACAAAGTGAGACTCTGGGGCGACTTCCGGGGCCCCTGCTCTTGGGGCCCCAGAACCTCGTCCACGAGTGTATAATAAAGCCACGTGGTTTGGCCCCCAAAAAAAAAAAAAAAAAAAAAAAAAAACAAAGTGAGACTCTGTCTCAAAAAAAAAAAAATTCATATTATGTTGAAATTACCAAGGAAACCAGGGGGAAATGATACTGGGACCCTCAAATATCCTTGTAAGAGGTTAACTCTAGGTCCCCTGCCCAATCTATCCCTGAACTACAGGGTAATTCTGATTACCAGTAACTTTCATAGACCTATACAACATTCATACACATGGCCACAACTGAGCCTTTTGCTTCTTCAAGGCACTAGCATACATGTG